CTCCTGACTAACTGCATGACCTGAACTTTCCAGAGCCTCCATTTCTTCATCTGTAATGATGGAATATTGTAACTTCATAATACATATGGTAGGATTACATTACGTATGTGCAAGGCATGTAATATGTTTGGTTTTTCCTCCCTGAATCATATGATTTTATTTTGAATAATAAACCAAAATTAGGATGTATTATGTACTGACTTAGGATCTTAGACATGCTACTTCATGTGATCTTACCAAGCTCACCATCTGCAAAATGAAAACAATATCTAATTCACGGGTCCTTGTGCATATCAAATGACTTCAGGATATGTTTCAGGCACCTATGAGGTTTTCAATAACTCCTTGTTCCTCTCCAGCCCCAAGTTCCTGTACATCAGGCATTCTCAGTGAGGATGAGATTGTCCCAAAGGGGGCAAAAATTGGTTCCTGGGAATGAAAAAAAAAAATCTTACTCTTTTTTATACATAAAGCACAAATACATTCAATATGTAAACATACATAGAGTATATCAATGGTATTAAAATTTTATAGAGAGTAAAGCAATGAGGAAACATATCTTAAAAATTCCTGGAAGTGGGGGTGGGGAGATAGTGGGAAAAAAGTTCAAAAAGCATTGCCCATTGCATCAATATATAATGAATCCATAAAACCATAACTAAAATTTGCCTACTTCCAAGGAGTCATGTACCAGTAGCTGATAGCTAATGACTTTCTCTTAATCCCAGAGTTGAGTTTTTCTATTTTATCTCTAACAGAAGCTGTTATTTATTTTCCTTGTCCTTTTCCCACTTTTCTTGACCCAACTATATTATCAAGCTCCAAGTCCAACAAAGAGAAGAAAAGTAGAAAGATTAATGAATGTATTTGGGTTGGAATTCCAGAGAGTGCTCTTTTGGCATGCTTTAAATAACATTAGCATTCTTTTTAATTTTCTGGTGAGGCCCTTGTGTCACTTAAAATATGGCTTAACACCGGGGTGCATCACTTGGCACATTCTGTTCATTGTACATTAAAAAAATGGTTGAAATCAGAACTTCCTCTTGATAACATGGCCTGTATTTGTGATTTTCAAAACCACCTTGGGCACAATACTGAATCCTGTCACCTCAAAGGAGGAAAGCATTTAAAGGTGGAATTTCTACCCTTTCTTGCTCTTAATAATATACTGTATCTGTAACACAAGGGTAAATTCAGAGGTTGATTTTGGAATAAATAAATTCATGTGTAGTTTACTATTTAAATTCAGTAGGTAATACCCTATGGTTCTGGTGCTGTATGATAATAAATGATTTTTACACTCAAGAATCTGAATCGCAAAGCTGCACTGGAATTACACATAGTGGTTATAGAAACATCTGTGTAAGAAAATACCAAAGGATAGACTAGTGTCATATAAAAACTATTAGCCAATAAATCTGCTTTTGATGGGCTACTAAAAATGTACACATCAGGTATAAATGATGTGTGTGCCTATTACATAGGCTAGCTTTGTGAAGGATGGCAAACTTCCACTGGTGCACAGAGACAAGAAACAGCTGTTGTTGGCGTCAGCATTACTGCAAGAAATGAAATAATAATTCTGGGGCACACTCATAAGAGTTACCATATATCTGATCAACTTTTGAATAGATGCAAGACCAGAATCATCTGGTAGCCCCAAGTGAAATTGCCGACAATCCTTTAACAATCTCTAAGGAAGGAGCACTGAATCCAATCCCATAGAACCATCATCCTACAGAGTGTTATTTCTAAAGCAAGTAGTTCAGTCCAATGTATGTGCATGTGTGGTGATGGGGCAGAAAAGGAATGGGGGAAAGCTATTGTTATTTTTCTCTTTTTGTTGTGTCAAGGACATTTTTGAGTATAAAATTTTAGGGTTTCAAATGATGACTGCAAAGCAGTTGCTTGAGTGAATTTATAAAATATCAGTCATCAAAGGGGGAAATTTTTTTTTTTGCAGTACTAGGGATTGAGCCCAGGTATACTCTACTATGGAGATACAACACTGTCTCCACCTCCCTTAATTCTTTTTGGAAACAGGGTCTCACTAAGTTGCCTAGGCTATCCTTGAAATTGTGATCCTCCTGCCTCAGGCTCCCAAGGAGCTGGAATTACAGGTATATGCCACTGTGCCTGGGAGAATAAAAACATCTTTAAGGGGATAAAAATGCATTGAATCTCACCATTGGATCTATTTGATAATTACCAATAAACACAAAGGATTTTTTTATTTTAAGGGAAAAAGATTAACGATTAAGAATTCCAGTTACAAAAGCTCAAAAAGTTCTTGTTGATCTGGAAATTATATTTTTTTAAAAAAATATCTTTTGAAATCATTTCAACCATTCAGTTCAAGAATATTCTGATAATTCCTCTAGCTCATAGTTGGGATTTTTCTACTTTTAATGTTTAACAATGAGAAGTCAACTATAGATACTCTATGCATTCCTTGGCTGGGCACCATGGATTTCCTTCTGTCTCTTGCTCATTATCTATTTGAAGGTTGTTTCTTTCAGACAGAAAGCTCCTTAGCCAGGCTACACAGCTCACAGACCTCTCCAGCCCACTTCTCTATGAGAGGTACTGAAGAAGAGTGTAGGAAGTCAAACTGAGTCTTCTGCTACCATAGGACATACTGGTATCCTATAAATTTCTGGACCATATAGAATGGCAAAGAAGTGGGAAAAGATAATGAGAGAAATTGTTCAGCCTCAGTCCACTGAGACCTTTAAAGAAAGAATAGCCATTCTTTTCTCAGTTTAGGCATTCATAAGCTGGTTATTCACAGCCAGTAAGGATTGGACCAAATGTGCTCTGGAGTTCTCTTCTTCCTTTTATGATGCTGTAGTTTTAAGAAGAGGTACACTGAGCAGCGAGAAACTATCCACATTGATTTTTGGCTGTCCACATTGCTTTCTGCCAGAGAGGTTTTTAAAATTTTGTAACATCAGACTCTGACTAGGTAGGTTAAGGAGTCCAGCCCAAGTTCTTAAATCAGGGCTTATTTACTACATGAACTATTTGGGACAGGAGAGCTATATCCCAAAGAAGAAAAAAGGCAAGAGGAGAGTGGGTAAAGATTGAGAAAGGCAGGGAGGGAGGAGAGAAGAAAGGAATACACAAAGGACAGAAATTAAAGGTGAGAGACTACTTCAAAGCAACAGCTAAATGTCTTTTTTCTCCATATTAAGAATTTCTGTCTGCCAAAATGAAAAAAAGCATAATTACCAGCTAAATACAAATCCATTCCTATATCATTTAAGTGACATATCTTCAAGGTACAAAGCAGCTTGTCTGCCTAAAGGTTGGGTGATTTGAGCCCTCTGTTACTCTATATAAAACAAAGAAGCTGAAGTTTCATTACCCTTAAATTGTCTGGAAGTGGGTGAAGTTAACTTTTATTAGAAGCTGTTCTTTCATATTATACAGTATAGTCATGGATATATTAGCTTTGACGTTTTCTTACATCTCAATACACTGTGGAGTGAATATACTGTGAGACTAATTTAGAATGGAGCTTTTCATAAGAGGAAATAATGGTCAGCATCAGTTGTACTTCAAATTATTATTGGGATGAAATTTCAGAAAAGAAATATACATAGACATCAAATTACTAGATGTCAATAAGAATGTTTCTTATATTTTTTTATTCCTGATGATATTCTATGTTTCTTAAAACTCCCATCTCTTAAAACTGATTCAGGAGGAAGGGTTTATTGTTAAGGAAATGTTACAGTGCCTCCCAAACATGATTATTTTGTCTTTAAAAGAAATAAATCAGATCAAACAGTTTATGAAAGGTATTTTTAGAGGTTCAGCTTTAATAAAGAAACCACTACAACATAAATCTTAAAAATATGATTATAAAAGCAGCTGGGCATGGTAGCACACTCCTGTAAATCCCAGCAACTCAGGAGGTTGAGGCAGAGGATCACAAGTTTGAGGTCAGCCTCATCAATTTAACAAGATCCTGTCTCAAAATAAAAAAGTACTGGGGATATGGTGCAGTGGTTAATTACCCCTGGGTTCAATTCCTGGTACCAAAAATAGATAGATAGATAGATAATTAATTAAAGGCAAACCAGATGCAGTGGTACATAGCTGTAATCCCAGGTAATCGGAAGACTAGGAAAGGAGGATTGCCAGTTCCAAGACAGCCTGGAAGATTTAGTAAGACACCACTTAAAAACATTTTTTATAAATAAATAAAAAACAGGGTAAAGATGATTGATTTGACTAATAAACAATAAAGTCATTATAAAATAAATTCTAATTATGTGTAACATATATACGCTATATATGCTTTATGTATATTTATTTATATATTTGTCTTATATATGTGTGTGTATATATATATATAAACATATATGACACAGAAAGCATGTGAAAACTTTTATTACTCTCTGATGCCAGGGGCCATTCTATCAGTTTTGGGTACCTCATCTAATAAGATCATATTGATTGGCTGATATTTTGAGGCACCAATTAAACATATAACTTGTAAATGAATTTGAATTCTCCTTAAGCCAAAAAGAAAAACAAGCATACCTGAATGATGAATAGTATTTTAGCGTCAATAATTTTAGAATGCAAATATATCATAAAGGGATGTTTCAGACACTAAACTAATAAAACACAGTCAATCAAATATTAAAAGATATTGAGAAACAACAATAGGAAGTATTACAAGAAACATACCCAGTGGAGATGCATAAGAGAAAACCCTCGTCTACTCACTCGGTTTCTTATCGGTTCTATAGGTTTAGCAGTGGAAAGCCCCCACCCCTTTGTATTTATCTTTTTGCCTGAATGAGTTCAATTTCACTTAGATTAGGAGAGAAATTTCAGAATAGCAGGTTAATCCATCCTGTCTTCATGGGCAACTGAGCAAACAGACCAATATCAGTGTAAAATTGTAATTCTGGAGATTAATGTTGTCTTTTCTATTTTTGGTGAATTTGACCTCCTTCACTTTTTTTTCTCTTTTTCTTTTTCAGCTTCTGTCCAGGGTCCCTGGGAGAGAGCCATCTCACCAAACAAAGTGCCCTACTATATCAAGTAAGTTGAAAAATTATATTCTTAAGGGAACATTTATTGTGGCTAATCCATGTATTCACAAGTGAATTTATTTTTAAAATACATCATTAGAATGGAAGGGTAACTGATGTGATACAGCAATCTGTATACGGGGTAATATTGGGAGTTCATAACCCACTTGAATCAAACTGTGAAATATGATATATTAAGAACTATGTAATGTTTTGAACGACCAACAATAAAAAAAAAAGAAAGTCTTAAAAAAATAAAATAAAATAAAATACATCATTAGCCTTGCCTATGATACCTATTTCTTTCCTTAGAAAGCTTGGATAGTAAACTCATGCTAAAATTAGCACTGTAAATGTGATGCAATAGGAAACTACTTTTAAGAAAAATTCATTTAATGCAACATATATATGGTATGGTTTAGGGAGAAGGGATCCATAATTCTCACAATAGAACAAAAAGCTCCTGATAATATTATTGATGGTGGAAGTGAATGTTTCACAGAAAGCTATTCATCTGTTTTAGGGATTATTCTTATGTCATCTTCAGACTGATACAAACTTCTGCAGTTGTATGTGCACAAACTGTTTTAGGTAAATCCTTCATGTATCCCAAAGGCAGAGAGTAGCAGTCCTGGATTTGTAGAGCTTAGGTGTTCATTCTTGATATGTAGCACTCAGTATTTGTTACCTAGTAACAACATCAGAGTGGTACTGTTTTCTGGGATCATTTGTGCCAGTCAAAAGAATAGTCAAAGGAAGGATGTGTGAAATATGAATTATGATGCATTAGGTTGACATGGACGAGGGAGAGGAGAAAATATATTGAGTTATTATGATACTTTAACAGTCTGTCATCAATCGTGCAGTGGAATCTAACTTAAAGTTAACTTTGAATTGGCTCCCCCAACAACAATTAGAATTAATTGAGTTCATGAAACACTCTTCAATACCAACTGAAGTCTTTGAACTTGCTTCTGCTATGAGTCTGCAAATATTAAATGTGTTCTCATTTTTTCAGCCTGCCATCTTTTATCGAGTGTGTTTTTATTCTTCTACTGCCCATCAATTCTTCATAATTCAGTTCTAAAGCAATAACAGCAGTCCTAGATCTTCATTACTACAGTTTTCAAGAAATTTGATTTTGTGCTTCTATTTTAACTCAAAAGAATGGGGGTGAAGGGATTCTTTTGGTTCTTCAAGGAGAGACATATCCTTTAGGAAATGGTTTACCCTTTGTCTTATTAAATTTTTTCAGATGAGATTTCTCTTAACTTTAAAAATTCTCCTTTAATATGCCTTGAGCCTCCTTTTCAATTTTTCTGTTTTGCTTTAATTTTTTATTTGGGTTATATCTAATTTATTTCATGACTCTAAATTACTTTTTATTTGTTTATTTATTTATTTATTTGCTATACTAGGGATCAAATTCAGTGGACTCTACCACTGAGCTACATCCCCAGTATTTTTTATTTTATTTTTTTATTTTGAGTTAGGGTCTTGCTAAGTCACTAAAGTACTCCACCATGCCCTGCTACATGACATATTTTAATCACATTTTATTAAATAATATATTGATTTAGGCATGCACCATATGGCATTATGTCCACATATTGTATGTGTGTATGTGTATGTGTAGTTTATTCAGTTTTTTGATTCTTATTTTTTTAGTTGTAGATGGATTATTTTATTTTTTATTTTATTTTTTTTTATGTGGTGCTGAGGATCAAACTCAGTACCCCACGCATGCAAGGCTAGCACACTACCACTGAGCCACAACCCCAGCCCTGTTTTTTTTTTTTTTTATGGTACTAGGAATTGAACCCAGGGCTGTGTACATGTTAAGCAAGTGCTTTCCTACTGAGTATATCCCCATCCTTTTTTTTTTTTATTTTGAGGCAGAGTCTCCCTAAGTTACCCAGGCTGGCCACAAACTTGAGATCCTCCTGCCTCAGCCTCCCCAGTGCTAGGATTATAGTCATGGGCCACCACACCCAGCTATCCTTTCTTTATAAACTGAAATTAAGACTCTTTTTCTCCTTTTGTGGCTGAAATTTTAGGACTACCTGAAAATCAGAGACACCTTTAAGCTATTGTTTAAATGTCTCACAGAGATTCCTAGCCCCATCCCCATTCCCAATTCCACTGTCCTTTTCCTGAATACTTATCTTCTCCTCCCTCCTGTTACATATAATACAAGAAATCCCAGTATGTTTCTGTGGGAAAGTGGAGATTAATTCAGTCCAAAAAATTAAGTATTATTCAGGTGTGATCCTGCATGCTTGAAATCCCAGCAGCTCAGGAGGCTAATGCAGGAGGATCTCATCTCATGTTCAAAGTCAGTTTCTGCAACTTAGCAAGGCCCTAAGCAACTCAGTAAGACCCTGTCTCTAAATAAATTACAAAAAAGGGCTTGGAATGTGGCTCAGTGGTAAAGCACCCCTAGGTTCAATCCCTGGTACCAGAAAGAAAAAAATAAATAAATAAAATAAATAAATAAAAATTAGACAAGTTCTAAAAAAGCTGTAATTCCCCCTTTTCCAGTAAATTAGTCTCTTGCCCTCATTACAGTTAGAGAGCAGCTACGTGCCCTATTTGTTCAATGCTCCTTCATGTCTTGAGGGTCTTGGTGGTGGGTATTATTGGTTACAGGCATAGATCTGTAAACAAGAAAATTCAAATTCTGGTCCTAGCTCTGATATTATTTGACTGTGTTGTCTTGGACAAGTCATTAAGCCACTTAAACTTTGCTTTCTCATTTATAAAATAAGGAGTTTGTATGATATCTAAGGTCCTTTTAGTTCTCAGAATCAATTGAAGTCTCATTCAATGGACTTGTCCAAACTTTTGTTCAAGAATTTTATCATCCTATTTTAAAATTCATTATTTGAATTGCTAAGTATATATATATATATATATATATATATATATATATATATATATATATATATATTTTTTTTCTACTGCTTAGCTTCAAATATGCCCTCTCAGCACACTCTAACTTCTCCAGGTACCTCATTCAAGAGCTCAAATCTTTCTGTAAAATTTAGGACTATTGTTCTTCCCAGCTCAATAGTAAGAGACATAAAACAATAGACAGGAAAATTAATAGAGATGGGAGTATGGAGACCTTAAAAGCCTCTGAGGTGATCAGTTTCTTGGAATTCACATAATTTCTGGAAGATCTGTCTGATACTTTATGGAAAACAATTCTCTCCAGAATTATAATCTATTTGAAATTAGGGATTATATTTCCCAAATTTAACTCTAAAATTAAGCTGTAATATAGAGAATACATGTTCATAAAATGTGAATTGTTAGTAAGCAGATTACTAATGTCATTTGTGTTCTATTATTACTTTTTACTGTTATCTAAAACATTCTACTTAAAGCACATTATTTTGATGAGTAAGATCCAGTAGACTTCATGCACTGGTAAATGTTACTCATAGTCTGAGATGCCTTATTCATCCAAAACTAATAATAAGAATAAATTTATAATGACATTGCTTCAACCCGTTTCTATTTTTCCTCTTTATTATCTTGTTTGTCTTGACTTCCATTCAGGAGTTTGTATCACAGATTCCCAGCTTCAAAAGCCAGGTGTCCTCTCTGGCTATTTTTTTTAATGCTTTTCCTTTTCAATGCTGGGCTAAACTGATCATCTAAATAATAGGAGGTTTCCATATCAATAGCATGGATCCTAGTTGGCTTTTGAGTTGTGCATTCATCCTCAAGATCTGAAGTCATTAACAACATCTTTTGCTCTAGATTGCAAATCAGGCAGTGTTTATGCCCACATCCTGACACCAGCTTTTCATATGATACTATGATCCTTGATTTTGATACTTCAAACTATGTGTTTGTCTAGTTTATTAGTCCATAGCATATATCATTGTTACAGTTTTCATATTCCCTCTCCCTTGGGGCTCTCTTATTTCTGCCAGCATCTCTTTCAGGTTATTTGATTACAGCTTTCATTGCCACTGAAAAAATAATCACCAACAATGTTCAACCTGTTACAACTGCCTTTTCTACTCTCTGCCATTTTGTAGTTTTCTGGCCTACTGTCAAACTCATGAAAATTTCAATATAATAGCCTTTAACCAGCTGCTGCATTCTGTTAGGATTTCTTTCACCTTTTTATGTTGCATACTCCCATATGGGTAAACCAAACAGAGCCAAGAGCCAGGACTCTCTTGCTTTCTTAATGAGTTAGAAAACTATTCTTCTATGTTCTGGACTGTCCAAAGCATTGAGGAATCCCAAACCTACATGCAGGATGTTCCAACATGTATATCACAATAAGAGAATAAGAAAGAAAGAAATAGAACATTGGGTCAGATCAATAGGGCAACCAGAACCAACCCAGAATTCTGTCTCATATGAAGGCACCGGTAGTAGTTTTGTCAGTTAACCTAGTAAGCTTAATTTTAAAAATTAAGGTACATCATGACCATTTCTTGTCTGTTTTGTTTTGTTTTGGTCCTAGAGATTGAACCACGGGTGCACTACCACTGAGGCACCTCCCCTGTCTTTTTCTTTTCTTTTCATGTGAGTCAGGGTCTGGCTAAGTTGTCAAGGCTGTTCTCAAACTTGTAATCCTCCTGCCTCCGCCTCCGAAGTCACTGATATTACAGGCATGAGGCACCATACCCAACTCATGACCATTTCTGTTTTTTTTTTTTTTTTAAAGAGAGAGTAGAGAGAGAGAGAGAGAGAGAGAGA